GTAATGGATTAGCCTTTAGTACATCCTTTCTGCAGCCTTATTTTGATTTTGTAAATATCACTTATTCTACATGAATCCAAAAAAGGTCATTTAAAAAAAAAAAAAAAATGCAAAGGTGGGGATGAAACAGTTTTACTGAAAGTAAATATCGGGTAACTAAATGGAAAAAACTCTGGTTATTGGAGCAAAAAGGAAAAAGAAAGTCATTTCAATAGAACTCAGAAGTGTGATATTTGAGATGGATATATATGATGTTTTGGGAGACAGATGGGCATAAATCAGGAAAAACAGGCAGACAGGCGAGGGCAAACTTACTCTCCTGGGACATGCTGTGAGAGAGGACTGTCTGCGCAGGGGAAAGACAGGAGGAACAGTAACACCAGTCAGTGGATACCTGGAATCTCAGCAATTGTTCTTTTCAACCCAATGGAGAGGTATAAATAAGAATTAGGAGGATACCGATCTGCACAAATAAGTAATTATAAGCAACAATATTAACCCTCCTTATCACAGCAAATGAAGATTTTTACAGCTGTTCTGATGCTGCGAAGATGAGGAATCGGATACAGTCAAATTTCTTAATCAGGCTCAGGATGGCCAAAACCAACCTAATGGCACTAAAATGGCGCTGTGCATTCTCTGTGCTCTCTGTTAGTGCATCATCTTGCTAAAGGATCACCAAGTGTGGAACAAATTTCTTCCAGTGTTCCTTGGGTTCGGCTAAAACTGACAATGCTAATTTCACTCTGAGACTTCAGCATGCCTGTTTTATTTTTCATGGCAAAGAAATTCCTGTACCATGGGTTCAAATAACTGGGGTCGATTGCCTTGCAGAGCAGTGAGGTCTGTTTCCTCCAAGCTACTTCAGAATACCATGGGTCCATGGGGGAATTAATACCACCACTATACCACAGTGATACAAGAAATTATTTCCCTCCTATTCATCATCTAGCAATGAAAGACTCTTATTAGCAAACAGATACATAATTTCCGTATTCCACCATCTTTAAAAAAAAAAAAAAAAAAAAAAGCATATGAATGTTCACTAACAAACACAAGCAATAATCATGTCAGACTGTTTAAAAACCCAGACATTTGACACCTCCTTAGTACAAAATCAATGTCGTATTAATTAATAAGGACCATCAAAAATAGTAGCCAAGTTTTAGCAGCAAACAACTGTCACATTTTATTATTCTGTATCGTTTTTTACTAATACCCATCTTCCAGCTTCATGACTCTGGGCTCATATTCTTTTCATGCTTCAATTAAAAAGAAGAAGATAGCCAGACCGTCCAGGAAGGTAATGGAAAAGTCTTGTAGGGGGGCTTAGTGGTGGAATTTATGGCTAAATGAAACTTTCAAATATACTATAAAACTTTCCTTCCTTTGCTTAGTTTTACTTGAGGTCTCATAAGCAGTAATATGTAGAAATGCAAAACTTAATCAGCTAAAAAATAGAGCAAATCCCACATATCATTTTATGCAATACCAGGAGAGCAGAAATATATTTTCCTAACCAGAGAAAATTAACTAGGCAACAGTCCTATATCTATAATTTAAAGCAGTAAAATATGTATGGCAGAAACTAAAGCCACCTTAAAAGAATTCCTGTAGCAGCATATCACAAATTAATGAAATGGAGACATTTTTAGAGCATGCTGCACTGAAGATATTAAAAGGGGGGGGGGAGGGAGAGAATATTTCACCCCACAGATAAGTCTGATAAATACTTTTTAAATCAAGCTTTCTTCCTTATTTAAAAGTGCAAGAGCTTGAATATTAGGGGACAGCACACACGCAGTCATTAGCATTCCCAATCAAATCTCAGTGTCAGTCCACAGAGATCAGGGATATTTCACTCTGTCAGTGTGTGTAAATTCCTAATGTGGTCAGAGGAGAATCTGAACAAATCGAGAGGAAGGAATTATGGAGTCAGCTCTTACTTTATTTCTCCTAAAACAGAGCTGAAAGAGACTTAAAATACTTTATATTCCATGCTGTAGCCAAGCTGGGCACTATAGAATATTCAACTACTGCAGGTTTTTTAAATGCAATCAATTTACTGCTGCCAAATGTAGTAGGTTTATATACATCTGGGAAACATGCACCTACGGTGCTGATGAATTTCTCCTGACATTGCACTGATTTCAAGAGAATGTTGTTTTAAATTGGCAGTAGAGAGACTGGTAGAAAAGGATAAAGCCCTGAGGATGGCTGAATCAAAGAGAATTTCAAAAGAATTTTCCTGATGGTTCTTGGATAATATCACATGTTACCTATTTTCAAAGCCAATAGTTTCCAACGCACTTCCATTTATGGTATCAATAATTAAAAATATTTCTGTGGGAGATGAACTTACTGAGAAGAGAAACTGGAAAGCTATATTATTATCGTAAACAGAGGAGATGCAAAAATCTTTGTCTCCAGGAAAAAGCTATAGAAACAGGGATATCTTGTTTGTAACTATTGAGTGGTTACCACGAAACGTGACACAGTTGCATGTGCACGTTTGAAGCATTAGAGAACATGATCGCACAGAAATTAAAGGCAGATCAGATTAAGCCACCTGAAAATTTGGTCCTGAAACCTAAAGTCTAGAAGACAAAGTGTAGAGAAAATGTTTTGGATCAAATTCAGAGGCAGAAAAGCTAAGTTTAAAGAAAATTTAAATTACCAAAACTTAAACCTCATTATGTCCCACTCCCTGCCAGCACGTCCCTGCCAGCTACTAATGAATGTTTAAAATCTTTCCCCCACCCCACTGCGCACATCAGCTCTGAACCTGGCATCCCGAACCGTACAGCACACTGCAGTCTAATTGTAACTCACATGTCAAGGGGCAAGAAGAAAGGAGTGTGGCGAGAGCATTGATAAATTTAACTCAACATTCCTCCAGCTACTCAGCAGTACGGCAGAGCCGTGAACTCCCTTCCACATTTTACATGGGTGTCAGTTACTTCAAAGGGATATGTTCAAGCATGAGGGAGTCTGGCTCACTCCCAGCTTATGCATCATTTGTGCCTGGCTTTTTCTGGAAACCCACGGCAAAGCAAAGACTTCCTCCAGTTTGGGGCACATCGTAGAGCTTTCCAGAGCTGTTTTCTTAGACTGGAACAGATCAGCTGTGCACCTTTGTATATGAGACATCTCTTACTCTCTGCACTTCTTCCCTCCTCCAGAATGCCCTGTAAGCTGAATGAGTTCAGCTTACAGATTTATGATGCTCACTTATGTTCAACTAAACACACAAATGAGCTATTCCACCAGTGCCACGCATACGTGATTCAGTGTTCAGAAGTCACCTGGAGCTAGGCAAGAGGCTCCTCCCTGTTTCAGTGCAGTATGTCTACCTACACAACCACTGGAAGCTGTTTTCAAATACAGCTATTTTGACCAACCCAATTGATTGCTTTGTTGATATAATAAGTTGCTGTATTAAACCCAATGATCTGAAGCAATGGCTACTTACTGCATTCACACCAATACACAAAATCAGTGAAGTCAACCTTTCATTGTACCATTGATGTTGGTATTTAACATTACAAGAAAGGTATCAAAAATTCCTTTTACAGACACGTCTCATATAAGGTTATTCTGTTCCTCAACCTTCCTTTGGTCTTATTTAATCAAAATTAAATTAAATTAAAGAAGTAGGTGGTCTTCGGTGCCCTTATCCAAGATCTGAATGCCTGTTACGATTAAGACACTTAGAGGTCTTTTTTCCCTTTTCTTTCTCCTCTAGAAGCAGAGAATGTTGAAGATATGAAAAATGAAAAAAAAAATGTGCCATGCTTGTCCTTGAAGTTACAGTCAGAATAGTGACAATGGCTGTATCACACTGTATTGTTGCTTTTATCAGCAAGTGCCCTGAGCATACATTAACATAATTGCAAACTGCATGAAAAGTGAACATGCAAAAATGTGATGCAATTGCCAATAGCCTCAAACATCTGTCCCAACAAAGTGTTCCTCCTCCTTATTTTAATTCTTATTATTTTAACAAGGTTAGTGAAGGAGAAACCATGTCACAGATGATATCTACATTTAGAGTGTCAGAGCAATTATTGATGCAAAAATAGTTATCCAAGCAAATGAGTCACATTTTGTTCACTTCCCAAAACACCTGTTCATTTCCTAACACGTTATTCCCAGCTAAAGCCAGAACTCATTAGTCCCAGTTAAAGCCAAATGGAAAGCTTAATGTGCCTATACAGCTGGAAAACTGAAAAAAAAAATAACCAAAAGGTAGCACCATTCAAGCACAGTGTATGTCTGGAGCTGGTGGGCAGTGAACTACTATAGCAGCCAACAGAACAAAAGAGACAAAAAACCAGCAATAAACTAATAGCCACCCAGCCTTAACAGTGGAGATCAAAGAGAACTACCCAAACAGCCACCATTTTAATCATGGTACTGAGATCTTTGAGCTCACCATGCCAAAGAGCCCACCACATATGCAGTATATATATTTTTAAATCCTCTCAATAGGTAAACAAGAAAGGCTGTTACGGAGAAGATCATTTAGCACCTTTCAAATTTCACCTCAATACTTTCTGTACCACATCAGGATTCTCCAGACCCAAACCTGGACCTCCTGTCTCCCACCACTTGCATACAGGGCCACTGTCCCATTGCTCCCCAAACTGCTCATATTTGCCACTGAGAAAAGCCAAACTCGCATTTCTGTGATAGTCAAACATACATTGTGAATTTGAGGGCATCTGCCCTGCAGACATAGCGCTAACTGTAACCCCAGGAGGCTTAAAGAAATATCAACACTCAAATTCATAGAGTAAAGGTCTGAAGAGGCAGTTCTGTGAACGGATAACTGCCCGGGGCTTTGCCAAGCACAATATAGCTGTCACTTGTTATTACGTGAAAGATTTTCTGGGGAACAGTGTTTTTCATTTTGCATGTCAGAGACTGGGGGAAAAAAAAAATACATTTAGACAACCATCTCCTTAAGAAAAGAGAGCCATGCAGCAGAGCTCACTTACCAGGGCTGGTTATTGTCAGAAGGTCAAGCTGCCGTCTCTGCTGAAAAACAAATTATAAAAGGAATTGTTAAAAGGAGACTAATTTTAGTGGGTGAGCTTAGACCTGTGAAGTAAATGTTCTGACATTTGTAGCAGAATTAATTACAAGTTACATGGTTCACAGTAACTCTTTTGGATGGGATCCTCACGTACTTTATGAGAAACAACAACAACAAAAAAACCCCAACAACAAGCTCAGTCCTTTTAATGTGTTTTTATTTGCACTTACGAAGTGTTACTATTTCTTCTTCGAAGCATATACTTGAAATGGATAGCTAGAATCACAGATGGACCGATATACTTATGAAAGCAGTTTCTGATTCCATAGGGAAGGAGACAAGGAACCAAGACAAGAAACCCTAAGTTCTTTATTCATATCAATCACTGACTCATAGCCTGGATGTGATCAAGCACAATTACATTGCCTTGGGGTAAACCTTTCAAAGACTTGTAAGGGGATCTAGACAAATTCAAGACTGATAAAAGGAAAGTTTCTTTTTATGCTGAGCACAGCTAGCCTGCAGATCGCATTGCCACCAGTTATCCCTCACCCCAAAGCCTGCCAGAATTGACCAGTACTGAATATTTCTACGGATCACAAAATCCAGGGATTTATGATGGCAAATATCAAGTTTAAACCAAATAATTGTTTCTGGAAGGCCTGCAAGCATCCATCACTGGACCATCACTGGAATGGCTACCCCTCATCTCACAAACAGCCTGTTACTGCCTCTCCTTCCCAGCTTTCTAACTTTCTGTCTTCTCCCTAACTTTGCCCATCATTAGTGTGTATAGCTGGCATTTCAGATTACACTGTCCAGTTTAATTTTTCTCTCCTAATCTGCTCAATAATGTCTGTGTTACTTTCATTTATTGTCAGTCCTATTGATCTTTCTCTAATCTAATTCTCATCATTACATTCACTGTATTCTCTGGGTGACAGCTTAAAGTCCTTGAGGAAGAAACACTGACTTGGTACTCCCTACAGTGAATGTTCATCCCTGGAAATTACAACTGATGAAACTCCTTTCCAAACTCGTTGTTTCTCTGCAAGTAGAGATTCACTGGCTGAAGTACGTGAACACAGCTGAGCACGTACTGGATATACTTAAGTTGCAAACCCAAAACTGAATTTGGCCTTCTGGGAAGCTAAGTGAAGTGTCAGGCTGAGAAAAACACATTTTCTGAATCACTGCTGGCCTTCAGTACCTCTTGTGCAGTGGAAATCACCTTTGAGAGAAACCTAACTCCTGTCTGCTTCCATAATTATTCCTTGTTTGCTTAACTCTGACAAGGCATTCTGAGTATGATTTTAGCAGTACGCTTGATATTTGATTTCTTATAAAACATAAGGGCCAAACTAAGACAAGCATGCCAATGTAATGGTAAAATGGAGCAGAAGAACGTGCCCCATTGCCTTGTGTCTCCTCCACAAGAGCCATTCAGAAATGTTATCCCAGCTCTACTGAGTTCTGCTCGCTCCAGACTTCTCCCAGAGAGCAGTAATGCAAAGTAAGCAATAGTACAAATGAAGGACCTGCCTCCCCAGTGGGAGCCATAAGAAGAAATGTCTCCTAATGAGTCGAATTTTATATAGACTCTGTGCCTTAATACTGAGTCACACGTATAAAGCTATGAAGTGCTAGGACTTAGCACCCACTGGGCCAAAAGCTTTGCTTACATTTCTCATCACTACTGGAACTCCAAATGCTGTATATCTAACGAACAGCTAGAGCAGAAAAGTAAAAGCTTCTCTACTGGGAGGAAAAAAAAAAAAAAAAAAAAAAAAAAAAAGTGGAATATAAATAGTCTATATTAAATAAGGTTGCAGACTGTAGAGTGTTTGAAAAGAGAGAAATGCCTGTATAGCCCAACTGGCTTCCAATCCTGACCTAAAGCTGTTAGATAGGTTTAGAATAAGCGCTAAATAAAAACCTAAATTGCTTAACCCAATACTGCAAGAAGATAAAAGCATACAGAATAGGCTAAACAACACATGAAACAAAGTGAAACTTTTCTTCCTGATAGGATGCTGCCTTCAAACTGGCCTTGGGAGAAAAAAAAAAAAAAAAAAAAAAATTAACTACAGGTCCAGGAAATCTTTGTGTACGTGTTGAACTTTAAGCACAAGTTATTTCTCTGACTTCAAATGGAGCAGCACTGATATTTCGCATCTAACACCTAAATGCTGCAAGGACTTTGAAATGCCACCAGGCTCTTGGCCCTGACTCCATGCATACACTCTGAGCTGCAGCTCTGTGCTGACTGCCTGACCTGTGCACCCAGGAAATAAAAATTCCTCTACTGTGACCTTCAGCAGACCTTGAAGAAGTTTCTCTCATTTAGCACAGCCAGGGAAGCTTGCACATGCTCACCCAAGCCCTGGAGAGAAGGAAACAGCAAAACACATCTCAAAATCATGCATTTAAACATGCAAAAATGCACTAATTATGGATCCAATCACTTTCCGGAAATTCAAGCCTGCTCTCAGATCTCAGGGGCTAACTCTCTGCGGTTTCCAGGGCTCAGCTGGACGCAAGCAGACTAGTAACTATATGGATTTTTTTTTTTTTTTTTTCATTTCTACTGGCACACTTATGAGTAGCTATAAAAGCAACAGAATTGGGATTTAAAGAGAAAGGCATTACACAAAGTGTCCACAGTTAATAAAATAATTGCATCAGAAATATCATGGCTGTGGGGCTTGATATATCCTCTTCTCCCTTCAGTGATGAAAGCTGCCACTTGCAGCTGTTACCCCCTTCTAGCATGATCACCCTTTCCCTGTTTTGACAGATTTCTTGAAAGACTCATCTCAAGATGTCTGGCTCCTTTTTGCTTTGCCTTTAGTAATTTTCCACTTCTCAGACACCTGCCCCTGCAGAGATACTTGGGGCTATCCCAATCTTCAGGCAACCTCATGTCCCAAGAATTACTACCGGAGCACTATAAAATATAATGATTATTATTTCTAGTCTGAGAAGAGGTGATAGTGTTCCATATCACTAATGCTGTGTTTCACCTACGCTGGGAAAAAGGCACTCCACAAAGGAAACAAACAAACACACACGCACATTAAAATGATTTCCACAGCATCAACCGTAATGCTAAGTGGAAAACAGAAATATTCCCTTTATCATCACCGTATCTCTAGTGCTATAATCCTGTGCTACCCGTAAGGGGCAACATTCTCATTTTCATTTTGCTGGTTATTTGAAAGCCCAAAGGCACGAAGAGGCCATTGGTGATTCATACTGGCTTCCCACTATGTGCGTTTTTCCATCATTGGTACTATCCAGAGGCACAGTCCCTACAGCACAGGGCTCTGCAGCAAACCTGCAGCAGATCGTGTTCTCTTCCATAAAATTAACAGTCTTTAATTAATGCAATAAGCACTGATGAGTAATAAATCATATTAAAATACAAGGAAGGCAAATTTTTAATACATTAAGCATTGATTCACTCAATAAATATTAATCTATTAAGCATCGAGAATTAATTACATTTAGAAAAAAAAGTTTAAAATCCTAGCTGGTGATCTGGTCTAAAATGAACAGAACGGTCCCTGTTCACCCATAATATGCACTTATTTTTAACTAATTCCGTAATTTATCACATGAAATAACTTGCCTAACAGCAAATCTGGAATATTATTCTATTGCCATATGCAATTTTCTCGACAGATTCTAACTCACTCCATATATTGCTCCCTAAATTTCTCCTCGCAGCTCCCTTTTTGAGTATCTCCTTTCCCTTCCTTGATGCTCGTGGTCTTTAAAACACTTGCCGATTGGTGTCATTTAATTTTCACCTCAATTAGCTTAGTGAGAGTTGCAAAACTAGAAAAAAAAAATGTGTGCGTGGGGAGGGAAATTAAATCATTTATTTAAGTTTAGCTTATCTATGAGATGCTCTTTCACACACTGCTCTCTGCAGTGCTGCTCCAACCTTTTACATAGATGTGGGATGTGCTGCAGTTGCTTTGACTCTTATCTACAGATTAGCAAAAGAGAAGGAAAAAAAGCCAGATGCAAAGATGCCCCATGAGACTGATATGAGCTGTTTCTGTAGCAACCGATGATTTTCTTCTCATGTAAGAATGAACCGTGTCATATCTAATTCTGAATGTATCTGGGCCTCACTTGCCAGCCAAAGCTGTGTCAAGTATAAAGTCAATATAGTTAGAAAGAGTGATAAAAAAAAGCAATTACAAAGTCATCTTCATCCTCCTACACTCCTCCTCTAACCAGGATCCAAAAGATATCCTTGCCCCTGCCTTCAGCCCTGGAACATCACCTCCAAGCACCCAACACCTAGCAAAGATAGGAAGCATTTCACAAAAGCAGCTCCTCTGCTGAAAGCTCCCTTGTTCATCCCATGCACTCTCATCCCAGGAGATGGCAGTGCTCTGAGAGGGGATCCCTAATTGATTATCTATCTGTCTATCTAAAAGCACAGTTTTATATGGGCCACGACAAATCTCCTAAGTCCAGATCTGAAATCAACTTCATCTTCAGAAAGCTCTTGTTAGGTCTATGCCACTTTGTTCTGCAGGCAGTGTTCCCTGCAGATCTGAACCCAAGGGCAGGCTGCTATCTCACCAGTGTCTCCTCCCACAGTTTACCCACACAAAGCTGGAATTGAGACTCTGTGAGCACAGCAAGACTTTATCTTTCTAAACGCCTTTTATCCAGACTGGTCTCTTCTCTCGATCTCTTTCATCCCAATTTAATGTGGTTTGAACGGGTGTTCTCTTTGTACCACCTTTAATCTACAATGCAATTCAATGAGTTTAAAATTAAAATCAAATGCATGATGACTTTTTGATTTACAAGTTGTTGGTATTTTTGTCTTTTCTAAATTAATTTCTAAAATTTAAATTCTAAGTCAGTTTTCTTCTTCTATAAACAGGCAGTGATGACAAGAGAAATAAGCCATGAAGGAAAGGTTTAGGCTGTACCCCATCCATTTGCATTGCCACGAGATGGGTAATGAAGGCTT